CACGCGCGCGTGTTCCATCAAACGTCATCGAATGGAGGTCGTCAAGGGGCTTGCTCAGCTCGGCTGCAGTGATTGTGCGCGCTCCTCGTTCATGGCTGTAATTACCCGCATGGTTACTGCACGCCAGGGGCGGACGAGGCGCGGAGGGAAGGGGAGGGGAGGGAAGAACCGCGACTTATAACCTAGACCCTAACCCCTTGACAATACGCACAGAGAGAGAGAAGGGGTGGTGCGGGGAGGCACGCGGACGGACAGGGCGCGGTATCACAACTTCCACTCTCTCCCCCGCCCCGCCCCGCCCCGTCCGCAAATGAGAATGCAGGCGGCCCCTCTCTGGCAGTGTAGCGTCATTACCTCGGCACGATGCGCCACCCGGCCCGGCCCGGCCGCGCGGCGGGCGCTGCTCGTCCCGATATTACACTTTCTTGCGCCAAATAATTACAATTTTTAATTGCTTTCATCATTACTCTTCGCGCCGTAAAAAGCCGGTAGGGTAATTTACGCGAGGCGCGCCGCGCGCCGGGGCGTGGCGGCGGGGCGGGGGCAGCGGGTGGCGCACGGCCATGTGGAGGCCAACGAAGCGGCAGCGTTTCATTCGTAAGGGAAGGGGGAGGCACATCACCGCTCCCCCGCTCCCCTTCCATCCCTCTTTCTCTCGCTCTCTCACTCTCTCTCCCTCTCTCTCTTGCTCTCCCACGGGCCACGGGTGACGTGGAGTGAGGCCATCACCCTCGCCCGCGCAACGCCCCGGCCCCGCCGCAAACCTTTGAAACGAATAATGGTTCATGTTAGATCCAATTACGGTTTAATGTTCTTTGCACTCGGGGTGGGCGGCCGGGCCTCGGGCCGGGCGGGGCGTCCGCAGGCCCGGCACGTCCAATAGGTATCGGTGGTGGGGCTGGCGCGGGCTCGGTGTGCCGCCACGGCACCCACGAGGAGGGAAAGAGAGAGAGAGGGAGAGGGAGAGGGAGGGGGAGGAGGCAGGGGAGCAACACAGCAGTGGCGGTAGAAGGCTCTCCGCCATAAGTAAACGTGTGAATAAATGATCAAAGAAATTAGACGACACGCGCACGCCGTGGAAGCACGCAACCTGCGGGGCAGCGCGGGACTCCGCAGGGGGGCGGGGCGGGGCGGTCTGAGTGTACAAGCGAGGAGAGGCAACGTCGAGTAACGACGCCACTTACGAAGAAACCCGTAGAGCAATTTTCTCCCCAAACAAGAAGGAGGAGAGCGTGGAAGCACTACATGCAGCGTCGCAATGAGATGGACGCGGCGGGGACGGGGTGGTGGGTATAGGGGAGAGGGTGACGGGGGCGAGGGTCGCGACGACGACGCGCAGTGCGAGGTAAGAGGTTTAGGCTCGGTGGGGAAATAACGGGTGCGCTGCAAAAATATTGGCTGGTTTGATATTTGATTGATTCCTTACTGCGGAGGCCACCCCCTTCCCCTATCCCGTCGAGGCAGCAGACGATCGCCACATGCTGCGGCGGCTGGGCTGGGCGGGAGAACACGAGACCCGGCCCCGGCCTGCACTTCCATCATATTGCTTTTTGCTCCGCCTTAATTTCCCAACCAGATTACTTTTCTTCCCCACCTGCGCTTACTCGGCACATTTTTTTTAGAAAATCTACATTGATGTCAATTTTTTTTACGCGACGAGTGGTGAAGAAAGGAATGAAGACGCGTCGCCTGCCGCACAGCAGAGGCGGTGTCGCCATCAGGTTTTGGACTAGATACTCTCGTCTCTCGTCTCTCTCTATCTCTCGTCTCTCTCTCTCACATACACACACACCACGGCGGCCGGCCCACCCCCCAACCCCAGCTCTTGGACGTCCGACCGAGTTATTCCACCCCATCCGCCTCCTTCAGAATTCCATCTATATATCGCCATTTCATATGTTGCTCGGTGCTCTGTTTGATTGTTCTTGGGGGGCGCCCGGCCCGGCTCGGCCCGGCTCCATTTCATATATAGCGCCCCCGCCGAGAGTCGGCGTGCTCGCGACAGAGGGAGAGAGAGAGAGAGGGGGGGGGGCGAAGCGAAGGCGATGGTGGTAGGAAGAGAGAGACACACGTACCACGACATGACGAGGCGACGGCGGGTCAAAAGGACCTCGCCAATTACAAGTGGCGTGGTGCCGATCCATTCGGACGATTGCAGAGGAAAATAAATTCCCCCTTCCTACGCTCTCCTTCCACCTCCAACCTCCCATCTCCCCGCACCTCCTCCTCGCCCGTGGGCCCCGCGCAGGCCGCCCACCGCCACCACCACCACCACCACCACGCGGCTGCATCGGGGGCCAGCCGGCAGCGTGTGATCCGCGCGCGGAGGTGGGGCGGGGTGGCGAGGTGGGGTGGGGCGGCGCCCTTTTAGTTGGATTGTCCCCTAATTGAATTCCGCCTCGGCCCGTCTCTGCCCGCCATGGGCCAGCCCGGGGCCGCGCCATGCAGCAGCGGCGGCGGCAGCGGCGGCGCGTTAGAGAGAGGAGTATGGGCGGCCTGACGCGCGCGCGGAGGAGAAGGAG